TCTCTTTAAAGCTTCACACACTAGGTTTCCTCTTTAAAGTTTGAGACATAGTCTCATAGATCCCAGGCTAGCCTCAACGTTGCTGTGTAGTCGGGAATGGCCTGAACCGGATCCCTCTGCCTTTACCTCCTGAGAGCTGGGATTGCAGATGTACAAAACCACACCCAATATGTGCAACCCAAGCCTTTGTGCACGCTAGGGAAGTGCTCTATCAACTGGCCCACACTCGCAGTCACCACATGCCAGCTCTTCATTAGGCAATGAGTTTCCTCTCGTCTAGTGCAGCTTTAACCACATGCCTCGCTCCCATTATTACGGGGTGGCCAGGAGATGCCGGGCCATGCAATCTGGATGGTCAGTGCTCACCACCTCTATGTTGGTGATCCCAGTAGAGGACATGGGCTACAAAGACGACAGGATTCTTCTGAGATCTGATATTAGTGCTAAATTGTATGAACAAGTGTTGCTAGAAATCATCTTTGCTCTTAACCATGGAGATGTAACCAGAGAAGAATGTAACCATTAGAAAAATAATGGAAGAAGTATTTCCATGGGAGGGGGAGAGGGAGGGAGAGGGGAAGAGAGAGGGAGAGGGAGAAGGAGAGAGAGAGGGAAAGGGAAGACTACTTGAAGAAATTTCATGTATTGCTAATAGTTGGTGGGATTGTGTAAAGGCTATTGAAGCCTTCTCCATGGTTCTTTTGTAACAAGTCGTATTGTGGTTTTTACGGACTTGGGGAAATCACATTAAACTAAGTTAAAGAATAGCTTTCAAAGCCCAACTAACAAATTACATTATTTGAGAGAACAACTCCTCGTTCCGTGTGTATGAAATGTCTAGCTACACCTGGGATCTACAGCTTGACAATTCCTTTGACGGTTTCATCAAAGACTCATCCCTTAGCCAAGGCAAACACAAGGCAGCTGTAGGAAAGGTTGCTAGGAGTGTGTCTGTGCCCTTCAGTGATTTCCCTCTGGTTGTCATAGCACTGAATAAGAACACTGTAGATTTTCAGAAGATCAGGTGGTTTGAACCTAGAATTCACAAGGTGTCTTAGTTAGTTGGCTTCATCAATTGACTTCATTCATGAACTTCAGGTTATAATGGATCTGCCCCTGCCCATTTGAAATCTATTTATGTTACCTGCACAAATTTCCACTTATGACAATAATCCTGTCTGAATAGACATATTTCTGCTGATTTTCATTCTAAACAAATGGAAGTTGCTCATTCACAACCCTGTCATCATTTTCAATAAAATCATTCAGTAAAATAAGTCAATAATGGAAGGACTGGTTTTATTTTGTGCATTTTGGGTGTGTGTTCCAAGGAGGCAAACTTCTAGCATTAAGTGATGACCTATCTTACAAATAGCTGTATTTCAGGGGGTAACTGTCATGGTTTGGATTCACACAGAGGGGAAGCACTGGGAAGTGCTATGGAGTTTAACAGACAGTCCTTAGGTCATCAAGGGACTGTGGGACCAAGTCTTATTCTCTTTCTCTGATTCCTGGCTCATATGTGGCCACTCACATGTTATTCTGACACTGTCACCCAAGGTTCTCATCAATGGCCCAAAGCAAAGAGTCCTCCAAACTGGAGCACTCAAAACTATACACTCACTAAACTTTTTTGCCAAAGTACCATGTCTCAAGTATTTAGTTGTAGTAGCCAATACAGTTACCATTCTTGTCACTGGATGGCTCTTACCAAGGGTGTTGAGAAGGGGGCCATGTGTCAGCACAAGTTTGATAAAAATGAATTTGCTTTAAAGATTTACTTATTTTTATGTATATGGTTGTTTAGCTCTACCTATATATGTGCACCATGTGTGTACCTGGTACTCAGAGAGGCCAGAAGGGGGCACTAGATACTCTAGACTTGGAATCATAGTCAGTTGTGACTGTAAGAGCAAAAAGCATTTATAACTGTTGAAATATCTGTCTAGTCCTGGAAAAATTATTTTTAGAGCTATTCAGCTCCAAGAGATTATTTATTTCTAGTGATTACCCTAGTACTATTAATATTAGTTGTATATTTTACTATTAGTATTTATAATTGACATTTAGCAAGCACATACTGCATTTATATACAATATTAGAACACCTATATCTACATAATCTATATCTATGTGGCTACACTGTATGCTCCCTTGCAAGTTAGCATCATACTGATTCTATAACTGTAACACCACGTGGCCTGGAGACTGTTTTTCTTCATTTTTTCCTTTGTGTTTGTTATTTCAACTCTTCTAGTAGATCACAGGCTGGTTTTAAAGGTAGGAGTCAGTGTTGGACACTTTGTTTTATTCACTGTTGATGCAGAGGAGGTAGAACAGACTCACCTTAGAAGCTGTCTGCTCGGTCCTGCCACACTAACACCTTTTCAGAAGAATCCTGAAGCAAGGTCCTTCAAGCCAAAGTGTCTTGTAGTGTATGTGTCGGAAGGGCTATGGCAGAATTGTGAGAGTGTTCTGGTCAACTCCCTACACATGGGAGGGGGGAAAGAAGTGAGAAAGAAAGAGGGGCTGGAGAGAAGGCTCAGTAGCTAACAGCATTGGCTGCTCTTCCAGAGGATCCAGGTTCAATTCCCAGCTCCTACATAGCAGATCACAAACATCTGTAATCCGGTCTCAGGGGACCTGATTCCTTTGTCTTATCTCCTCGGGTACTGGGTACACAAACATGCATGCAGGAAAACACCCATATGAACAAAATAAAAATAAATAAATTAAACAACTGGAGTTTAAGAAAAGGAATGGCATTCAGCTCTTAATCATTCTTTCTTTCTCACCAGGACAGTGAGAGTTAGGAAACCTCTGGGAACATTATTTAGTTCGCTGTTTTTGTAGGAAAGTGAGCATTGTAACTATACTTGTAGTTAAAGTTATTGTCTAAACTCAATTCAGTCAATTGCTCATCTCACTTTTCTCTCTGTTAATGTCAATATAACAATTACAGTCAACATGTTTTACCCACAGGATTGCAGTGAGCTGTTTATAGCCCAGCATTGTGGACACAACGTTTGTTTTATAAATGCCATGTGTAAGTATTCTTTGGTCATTGCAGCAACGGGAGAAGGACAGCATGCTGGAACTCTGGCTGTCACTAGCCTACATAGAGGTATTTATGATGCCCACACATTAGCATCAGCGGGTACTTTGCTGGTAGCTTTCCACGGAACCATATCTTTTTATTATAGCTATTTGCAAGCAGTCATTGGTACATTTATCATTTCTGGGTTTTAATACAATTCAGTTCAGGCAATCTGAAATCAATAAAGTTTTAGATGGGATATGCCAATTGGATAATGAAAGTGATTTGGACACATAGACATTTGTAACATTTGGGAAAATCATTCTTATTGAATAACGTGGAGACTGCATTCTGCTGTTGCCGATGTAAACAAGGCTCTGGGTCCTAAAGCGATAAGTGGCTTATTGGGAGCATCACAGGGAGGCTGTTATTCTCTTAAACCATAGATTAATGTGCATAGATTCTATTTGAGCATCAGAATGTTCCCTGAAGGCAGTGTTGGTCTTCTTTACACACACATAGCACAGAATTCTAGATTTACTATGCTTTTATTTTTTATTTTGTGTGTTCACAAATTGTGTGTGTGAGCACACGTGTGCTATGCTGTTCATGTGTGTAGGTCAGAGAAAAGCTTGTGGAGTATATTTCTTTCCTGCCAGCATGTGGGTCCCAGGTATTGAACCTAGGTCTTCAGGCTGACTGGCAAGTGGTTTTACCTGCTGAACCAACTCTCTGGCCAATAGAATGCTAATATTAGAAGGCACCACTATGTATCTGATGATCTGACATCTAAATTTATAGCCAAGAGGATAACTGACTTTCTTAGCAGCCACCCCCTCACCATTTCTTGATCAAAGTCTTCCCATTGAATTCTTTTTCTTTGTCATTTCTACAATCCCATCTAGACCTTAGAATTCCTTGGGGTTAATTTAAAAGATGTCAAAATGGCTTTCATAATGGGAAAACTACACGATGAGTCTTTTCTTTCCATGATTACTATAATTGGGAAGGAAGTGATTGAACATGTGTAGGCTGAGGTAATGATGGTCCAATAGAGATGTTATGAACATGTGCAAGGCATCTAATATGTTATTAGTTCTTGATCTTTCTCTCTGAGAGCACACATCTAATTGTGTTTGCATCTAAGGTAGTTTAAAGGTATTGTTGCTGGATTGACATCTATGAAGGTCCTAGTTGATATCTTTTGATGCCACTTGTTTTTGAGTTTTTCTACATTCTTACCTAACCCAACAGTTGGGACCTCTCTCTCCCCACCCCCCTCCTCTCTCTCTCTCTCTCTCTCTCTCTCTCTCTCTCTCTCTCTCTCTCTCTCTCTCTCTTTTTTCAGCATTGGGGATTGAACCTAGAGTATCATGCATCTGAGGCAAGTGCTTTACTTTTGAGATACAGTCCCAGGCCTCAGTTGTGAACTTTTAGTGAAAAGTAATACACTTCATAATGTCATCATGCATGTTTCACTCTTGGATGACTTGAAGGGAAGCCTAGGGAACATTTAAAATTGCAAACTATGGCCGGGCATTGGTGGTGCACACCTTTAATCCCAGCACTCAGGAGGCAGAGGCAGGCGGTTATCTGTGAGTTCGAGACCAGCCTGGTCTACCGAGCAAGTTCCAAGACAGCCTCCAAAACAATACAGAGAAACAAACAAACAAAAAGATTGCAAACTTCGGCCCATAGTCCCAGAGATTCCCCTCCTTTCTTGAGAAATAATTTTAAAGAAAGAATATAAATAAGTAATTTTCTGTGGTGTTTTCCAAATGTCTACAACATTACATGTATTGTTTAGCTGTGAGAAAGAGGGATTTTCCTTACAGTCTCTGAAAATGTCTTCCCATATAGTAATTAGAATGGTTTGGAATGCCACAGGTATGTCTGTTCTGAATGCAAGAAGTATTCAAATTTTCTGATATAATGGGTTTAAAAATTTAATTACACATTTGAAGTCCTGATTACACCCTAGGCATTTATTTGCTTATGAAAAGTCAGACTATGAATTACAACATTCTGCTTTCTTGAATTCGTTTCACCATTCATTCCACAAATGATTTGTAAAATTTTGCAATTACCTAAAAAACATCAATACTATGTTACAAAAGGGTACTTAAATATAGATGAGAAAGATAGATGCTTGTCTTCTCCTTTAGATATTGATATTAAATAAAGGATGGAATGCCTTTATTTAAAACCAACCCCTCATCCCCTGGCAAATAGAATGAGTAAACATCAGTGTGAAGAAAGGCTTCCTTTAAACCTGTTATTCAATTCAAACGTGTTAGGAAAGAGTCTGTTCTGCATATAAAATATAACAACAAAAGGGAATAGTGAATAGAAAAATAAAATATGTAGAGGAGACAACGATTCTGCATACATAGCTTTAAAACCCCAACAGACAACATTTTTCAGGAGAGACTGCACATTCACTTACTGAAATAAATTCCCACAAAGTAATATTCCAACATGATAATTTGCCACAACAGACTCACCCATTGCCCACCAACTCACCAGTCTTTAGCATGTTGATGTTTGCCTCTAACAGTCCAGTGGAAGTGGAGTTAAGATTTCACATAATTCTCTTTGCAACATAGACTTTTCCCCGTTGCAATGGAATACCTACCCACCCCCAGCCAGTTCACTGGAAATGAACCACTGTTCTCTCCCACACAGTAGCAGGGTCGTAGATGGAAAAGGGCTCTGTTTGGAAGACATTATAGAACTGGAGATCATTTAAAAAATCAGAAGTTGTGAGTAAAAAGTAACGAAATAAAACTATCTGGCTTCCTCTCTTCATTACAGCACTATGGTAAAAACACACACACACACAAAATGTTTAACACGCTTTAGTCAGGAAACCACCCCTTCACTTGCTACAGGGCTCAATGTAGAATAGGAAAAGAAAAACACATTTTTGGCTGTAGCTTTAGTAAACAACAAATGAAGAAAAATCTTGTCTTCAACAGGTCTGGAAACTTGGAGCACAGACCTTGTCACGGACAGTGCCTCCATCCCCCCACAAGACTTAGCAATGAGTAGCTGAGCCCTATTCTGATGGGAAGGGAAGGATGGCCTAGTTCCAGCTTCAAAACAAGATAATGAAACAACCAACTGACAAAGAACAGTTAATTCTCCTGAATAATAAGGACATCATGTTTGCATATAGGACAGCATTTGCGTTATTGCTCTACTTAGAATAATACATTAAGGAACCCATAACAGACTGCACATTCAAAACTTAAGGTTCTTTGGTGAAGAATGAAAGAAAACAGTATTTGAGCTTTAAAGAAAAATATCTTATCCATGATTTTTTTTTTTTTTGCTTTTATCTATTGATCCGTTGGATCCTCTCACAGAGCAGGGAGAGGTACTGAGTGAGTTTCACCATGGCAACGATTGCCACGCCCCCGGCCATCATACAAGTCGGCCAGAAGAGTGAATGGAACAGCACGTTGGAGCTGTAGAGTTTGGTCAGGATGACACTCTTCTGGTTTCCTTCCGGGTCAGAATAGCAGGGGAAGTGCTGGTGTCTCCTGAAGTTTTCCATGACGACGCTCACCAGTGACATGGACTCTTCAAAGTTGTTTCCACACTTGGGAATATAGGAACACTGTGAAGAGCAGGACAACTATCGTCAAGGAAAGAGTTAAGAGGACAGCTGACAACCTAATATTATCTGTGAGACAAACATGGCGACTCACTTTTATGTATTCCAAACTAATGCCTCCTAAGACCAGAGAGATCGCACACTTAGAGTACTGTTTGGGGTCCCCAGACAAAGTATTCCTTAGTAATTTACCTATAAATTACTTGCTAATTAAAATTTAATTATGAATGTGTTGATCTGTTATAACAGTCTCACATCACACATGTAGAAAAAGTAAGTAGTACCTTTTGCTGTCGCTAAGAGTGGTGGATCTTAGTTATCTCCTCTCACAAACACTTGTCCCGGGGCTCAGAGCACAAACTTTTCTGAGCTTTGTCTGCACACATAATATATTACCATAACATACTGTGTTTGATAATCTTAATTGTCAACTCGATTGGACTTAGAATCACCATGGAGACACACCTACAGGTGTGTCTATGACTGTTTTCAGAAAGGTCTAACTCAGGAGGTAGTAACCACTTGGAATGTAAATGGCACCTGACCCTTGGCTGGCAAGCCAGACTGAGTAAAAAAAAAAAAAAAACCAAGAACGTGGTCTAAGTATAACTATGCCAGCTCTCTGCTTCCTGACTGCAGCTACCATGTGATGAGCCACGTACTCTCTTCTGTCCACAGCAGACTACGATATCTCCTCAAACTGTGATCCAAAAATCACAGACTGGAAATGCAGCCTTCCTTAAGTTATTTTTTGTCAGGTGTTTTGCCACAACAAAAGGAAAAGTAATTAATGCACACATCAGTATAAAGGAGTGATTTATGAATATATATTTCTTTTGATTTCATGCTGTTTGACCAAACTACCTTGGGCATCTTGTTACTCTTATCAAAAACAAAACAAAATAAAACAAAAAAAGAAACCAAATCAAATCAAACAAAAACCTGCTACACCTTTGGCGGCTCTTGCAAAACTCAGAGAGGCTGAGTAGAGGTTTGTGAGGAATGGGAGGGGCTAAGCATGCTGACTGCCCTTTCCTGTCAGCCAAGGCAAGGGAAAGCAGGATCGCAGCAGAGTGAGCTCTGTGTGACCTGAGGACCTGGCACTGGTTTTCACTGGCTCAGCTCACCCAGATCTCTTGCTCTCTGTCCCGTCTACCTCTCTCCCTCTTCTTCCTTTCCACACATTCGTAAGAGGTGGCTTGTGAATATTATGTGTGCATTGGTATGAGATTTGGAGTAGGACTCTGGAATCTGGGAGAGATTTGCATCTGTAAATTTCACAGGGAGAAGCTATAAAAGAAATGAGTTAAGCTTCAGCTGGTGGAGTCCTTTTGGAATGATTTTCTGCTGACTTAGAAGCAGCAGTGGGACTTGTGTAGCTGTAACCATGGGGTTATTTGACTCTAAGCAACAGAAGTCTCTCTGATTAGTTAAGAATGGAAGATGAGCATTCTGGCAGTGCTTGGCATGGGGCCAAGGATAGCTCTGAATGCAGCTCAGTACATTATAAATGGACTCAAAACACTGTGTGTGCACGTGCAAGGACATACGATTGCCTGGTTCTCAAGCATGAGCTTTGTAGATGAAACACCTTGTCACAATGTTAAAAGGCTGGACACACCTCTCATCATGCTTAACAAAATGTTGTTGTACCAGAGTCAGTGTCAACACATGTCACAAGGTGCCCAGCTCTGAGCCAATGCTCATCCACTCACATGTGAACCCAGTAGAGTGTTGGACTCTGCCTGGCACTGGGGTGAGGAAGAAGGCTGAAAGCATTTTAAGAGAAAGTTGTAATTCAGTGTGATTGTGGGCCTGGGGATTCATAGGCTAAAGTTTCAGCCAGCTAGGTGACAATTTTCAGGCTCTCATAGGGCTCTTTTGTCTGTCATACAACAGCACATACAGATCATGTCTTTAATGGTTTTGTTTTTGTTTTTGTTTTTGTTTTGATACAGGGTTTTTCTGTATTGTTTCTCTGTATTGTCCTGGAACTCACTCTTAGAACAGGCTGGCCTCGAGCTCACAGAGATCCACCTGCCTCTGCCTCCCGAGTGCTGGGATTAAAGGTGTGAACCACCAACACATGGCTGGTCTTTAATGTTTTTAAATAAATGTTTCTTGAAGCAAACAATTTAACAACAGCTAAACAGAGCAAATGCAGACAAGCCATCTGTAGTTGAATTCAGGTAGAGCCAATCTTGAGCATAAAGGCATCGCATATTGGTATGTTTTTGTGGTTATCTTACGGAAGCATGTTCAGTGGCTTACAGAGCTAAGTTACTTAAATGATCTCAATAAAAATGGCATTCCATTAAAAACTGGAGTTTCTCTTTATTTTCTCCTGCTATGGTGAATCAATTCAACTTACTTTTTTTTTTAAAGAAACATCTGTCAGGTAAATGGCAATAATTCTGTCACTAGGTAAGATTCCTCCAAACAAAACAAGATATAAAGTACCTCTGAGGCCATTACAACTGTCAAGGTTGTAATATGGGAGTTCCTTATTAAAGCTTAAAGCAGAGAGGGCCTGAGAGGTGTGCCTGTGGTCTGGCTACACTCCAGCATGCTCACACTCAGCCACTCTGTACCAGTGGCTACACTCCAGCATGCTCACACTCAGCCACTCTGTACCAGTGGCTACACTCCAGCATGCTCACACTCAGCCACTCTGTACCAGTGGCTACACTCCAGCATGCTCACACTCAGCCACTCTGTACCAGTGGCTACACTCCAGCATGCTCACACTCAGCCACTCTGTACCAGTGGCTACACTCCAGCATGCTCACACTCAGCCACTCTGTACCAGTGGCTACACTCCAGCATGCTCACACTCAGCCACTCTGTACCAGTGGCTACACTCCAGCATGCTCACACTCAGCCACTCTGTACCAGTGGCTACACTCCAGCATGCTCACACTCAGCCACTCTGTACCAGTGGCTACACTCCAGCATGCTCACACTCAGCCACTCTGTACCAGTGGCTACACTCCAGCATGCTCACACTCAGCCACTCTGTACCAGTGGCACATACTGGGACAACGCACAGATGCTAGTGGTGAGAGTCTGAGGTGCTCTGAGCCCTCCTGACCTGTTATCTGTCACTCTCTGTTTCTGCCCATGAAACCTCTACCATATGTCAGCTGCTAATTTCTTTTTATTATTGACATATCCCTTGTGATAACAAATAGTGAGGTCGTACAACAAGTTCCTGACTTGAGTTCATGTGATCCGGCTGCCATAAGCATGTGGCCCTCAGAACCAATTTCATCTCTGTAATGAGGTTAATCGAGACTTCCCGGCAGCTATCTTTCAGAATTAGATGATAAATATGCAAAAGGCCCCCATAAATTTTTATTAGCACATTTTCCTACTAGAATATCACATTTCCCCACATGCAAGTTCCACATACTAAGTTATGAAAGCTCTAGAGAGGGCTGCATAACCAGCTGTGGAGCTCTTGCAGGGTCAGCCTGCCTTATTGCCCTATGGCCTTTAGAGATTTTCATTGAGCCGAATTCTAGCTCAGGACATGAGTGTTTGCTTCTGTTGGTCCAGTTTTTGTCATGTATATTCATTCTCTGGAAGCCAGTATGGATTTAAAGTAAAGATTTTCTTATTGTGCTCTAACTGGGTGTAAGCTATAGCAGTGGGTATAACATGGGTGATGATTTAATTTCCACATACCTTCATCATGTATTTGTGGAGTAATTTTAGGTGAGTGGTATAGAATATACAGAACACAGTTCAATAGTATTTGACTACTATACAATCTACACTTAATTTGGAAATTACAACACGATGAAGAAGGCAAAGATAGATATCATTTTTAGGTAATTCTTTTATGTAGTGAGTATGTGACTAGAAAGATATGTTTTGAATTGTGAATGATGTATAACAGAAAGAAATTATTTTATAAACAATATATCTAGGTAGTGATCAAAGTATGTAATTACTGTTACCACGAGGATGTATGGATTTTCCAAATTGTCAATCAGCTGAGAACTGAGAAGTCTCTTTGGTGTGTGTGTGTGTGTGTGTGTGCGCGTGTGTGCGTGTGCACGTGCATGTGTTTACATATGTATATATTTGTGTATGTATTGGTTTGTGCACACGTGTGTATTCTTGTATGTGGAAGTCAAAAATTGATGTGTGTCTCTCCAAATCACTTTCCACATTTTTTTGAGACAGGGTCTCTCACTGAACCTGGAGTTCACTGATTGGCTAGATCGGTAGGCTGTGAAATCCCAGGGATCCTCCTGTCTCCACTGCCCCAGCACTGGCAACCAAGACACACCACTTTTATGTATCCTGAGGAATCTGAATTCAGTTCCTCATGCTTGCACAGCAAGCACTTTCCTGGCTGAGCTGTCTCCCTAGCCTTGACAGTTTCTCAATTGTTTTTATTTCATTTATATGTTACAATTTTTTGAGATTTTTATGCACTGTTTTTTATCATATTTGCTCCCATTCTCTAACTCCTCCCAGATTCATTCCTCATGTAATACCCATCTAACTTTGAGCCCTCATCTTTTTAATTACTTCTTTTAGTTTTGAGATTATAATATAATTACAGCATTTCCCCTCTCCTTCTTCCCAACAGGCCCTCCCATATACCCCTCCTTGCTCTTTTCCAAATTTATGGCCTATTTTTCATTAATTATTGTCACATGCATATATGCATATGTACATACATACATATTCCTAAATACAACCTGTTCAGTCTGTGTAACGTTACTTGTATGTATGTTTTCAGGGCTGACCATTTAGTACTGGATAACCAATTGGTCTACTCTTAACCTGGAGAAGAATGTTTCTCTCACTTTCAGTATTCCTAAATTGCCTATAGTTCTTTAATGTTGAGGCTCCATGGTCTTTCACCATACATGTTAGCATGTATATTGTTGTCCTCGGTCAGCTCATCTTTGGACAATGTGTTGATGAGACTTTATGGGTGTAGATTTTGTTATTCCTAGGAAACACAATCCCAAAACAAACTCCCT